TCCCTAGTACCAAAAAAAAAAAAAGTCTTAAATATAATTATACAGAGAAGCTTTATTCTTCACAGCAAAGACTTAGGGACTATACCAATCAACACACAAATCAATAAGGAAATGTGCTGCGATCCTAGAATATAATGCTAACAAAAAAGCAAAGACAAATCACTTACATACACGTGAATCTGAAAGACACTACACAATAAATAAGAGAACACAGTCTGTATGATCTTAGTTACATGAGCTCCCAAACACACAAAACTGGCCTCTGGCTGAAACACCAGGTGGTAACTGCAGGAGAGTGCTGGGCAGGGGGGGAGAGGACAATGCAGGGGAGCTGTGGAGGGCAGGTGATTCAGAGAGAGCAAGAGAGGAGAGCAGGATGAGTAGGAGACCAGCACTGGCCTGGGGAGGGAGGACAGGGTAGAGTGTGGGGCATGCGAGATGACCGAGATAGGGTAAGGAGCAGAATTAGACAGCAGAGGGTGGGACGAGAGCAAGGCCAGCAAGGCCCAATGACGAAGATGACAACAAGAGGGCAGAGCAGGCAAGAGCACCAGGGAGGCCACGGGAGGCCAGATGACAAGTTAGAGGGCAGGGCAGGAGGGAAGGCTGAGGATAGGGCAAGGCAGCAGGATTAGACAGCAGATGAGACGGTTAGGAGGTAGAGAGCTACGCAGACCAAGGACCCTAGGAGATGAGGGTACAGGGGACGGCAGGCAGAAAGAGGCTACGCAGGGACAGAGGGGATGACAAAGGTCAGAGCTGAGCAGGCAGAATGGCAAGGGAGAGGGCGGGATCCAGAGGTCTAGAAACAGAAGCAGCGCCTTTGGGATAGGCAGAACTGAAAGAGCTAGAATGCCCCCCCACACACACTCCCAATGTGACTTCACAGCACCTCCTCCACCGGCAGGGGCATAACCCAGTCAACTGTCCACCTGAGGCCCCAACACGAGGCAGGGGCAGCACCGTGGGCACTGAAATCGGGTCACAGGTGTGCTCCAGAGTGTGGGAGTTCCAGCTGGAGACAGGCACCGGCAAGTGAGGTCGAGGTAGGAGGAGCAGTGTTCCCAGGGGGCCAAGGTAGCCAGAGCATCAGGAAGTAGTGAGGGGCCAATGTCCCTTATGAGATGAAAGAAGCCTGAGGGGGTGGCATGCAAGAACTGAGGAGGGAGGGGACTCTGGCAGACAGTTCCTTATCAACCACTGTACATACATATGCCCTCTCCGCTGGGGCTTGGGTGAGTGGAAGGCCACGTAGCAGCTAAGCCAGAGCTGGGTCAAGGAAAGCCAGGCTCCTGCCACTCATCCTGGGACCCCGGCCTGATTCCCAGAATGAAGGGGAGCAACTGCCAGGCCCTGGAAGGGCTTGTGGATGGACACTTGCCGGAGGCACACAGGTTCTCATGGGGCAGTCGGAGACACAATGTGGCAGAGCCAACGCAGAGTGTCCAGCTATGGCTCCTCAGGCTACTGCTAACCCAGAGACAGCTAGGTCTCAGGTCTACACGCCTGCTCTCAGGAAGCCAGGCACGGGAAGAACCCAGGATGGCAGGATGGCTGCGCATCACCTCTAACGTCGGAAGAAGGGCAAGAGTCTCCGCAGGGCGTGCTTGACCTCCTTGTTCCTCAGGGTGTAGATGAGGGGGTTCAGCGTGGGGCTCAGGGCCGAGTAGAGCACTGCAGACACTTTGCTTCTCTCTGCGCTGTAGCTGGAGGCAGGGCTGAGGTAGGCACAGAACACAGACGTGTAGTACAGGGAGACCACGAGGAGGTGGGAGGAGCAGGTGGAGAAGGCCTTCCGCTTCCCCTCTGTGGAGCGCATGCGCACGATGCTGCGGAGGATGCACGCATAGGACAGCAGGGTGAGCAAGAAGTTGATGCACCCGTAGAAGGCATCCGCCAGCAGAGTCATGATGCTGTTCACACGCGTGGGGCTGCAGGAGAGCAGCAGGAGCGGGGGGATCTCACAGAAGAAGTGCGTGATGACCTTGGGGCCACAGAAAGACAGCCGAGCCATCAGACCGGTGTGGACAGAAGCATTAAGGGCACAGATGCCCCACACTCCCATGGCCAGGGCACCACACAGGCACGGGTTCATCCTGGAGCTATAGTGCAGAGGAAAGCAGATGGCCACATAGCGGTCGTAGGCCATGACTGTGAGCAGAAGCAGCTCAGAGGATGCTGACCAGATGAGAAAGAAGAGCTGGGCCATGCAACCCTGGAAGGAGATGATGTTTGCCTCAGATGCTAGGCTGGCCAGCGCTTTGGGCAGCACAGAGGAGGTGCAGATAATGTCCATGGTGGCCAGGTTGCACAGGAAGAAGTACATGGGGCTGCGCAGGCCAGCGCTGATGCTGACCAAAGTGATGATAACAGCATTACCTGTGAGTGCCACGGTGTAGAGGGACAGGAAGCAGCCCAGCAGGAGCAGTCGCAGCCCAGGGTGCTCTGAGAACCCCTGCAGCTCGAACTCCATCACCCGTGTCTGATTGGGGCTCACCATGGGATGCCACAGACCCTGGCCCCACTTCTGTGTCCTGTGGACCCTGAGAAGAGACCACAGTGAGGACACTTGCTGCAGATCTGGTTTTCAGGAGTGATCATCTGACAGGTGCTGCTATAGAAGGAAGGAGTATCTTGCTTCCTTCATGGGAACCCATCTGCCCCTCAGTCTCTACCCAACACCTCCTGAAACCACTTTGCTTCCATTCTAAACCCTCCCCACATATCAGTAGAAAGGGGACCTGATATGATTTCAAGCTTCCTAAAAATTCTATGACTTGTTCTGAGGCTGAACTTATGATCTGTCCTGTAGCATGTTCTGTGTGTGAGTAAAGCATGTATTCTGCTGCTCTTGCATGTGATACATCTGTGCGGTCTTTTAGATAAAGGGCATTTCAAGCCAAATGTTTCCATCTTGATTTTCTGTACAGAGGACCTGCTATCCATGGATGTGAGGTCTGGATGTACCCTACAAACACTGTATTAATGCCTATCTCTTTCTTCCTATCTGTTGGTATTGTTTTCTATAGTTAGTTGCCCCAAAGTTGGATGTATCTGTATGTACAACTGTAACATCCCCTGGATGAATTGAACTCTTCACCATGATACGATGACCCTCTGTTCTAAGCAGTTTTAAGACACACACTTATGGCATAAACACACACACTGAAAAAGGAAAGTTCTCAAACAATTTACCATCAAACCACAATGAATTTGAGAACAAGAATCAAACTAAGCCCAAAGATAGAGGAAAGAAGGGAAAAATAAAGACCAAAGCAGAAAACAATAATGTAAAGACTGGGGAAATTATAATTAATTTCAGAGTTGCTTACTGAATACATAAAATTGAAAAAACTTTAGGTACACTAAGTAAATATTAGAGAACTCTAAAATAAAATCAGAAATAAAAGACATGACATTATAGGTAATGCCACAGATATACACAGTTCATAAGAGACTACAGTGGGATAATTAATCACCAAAAATTGGACAACTAAAAAGTGGATGGACCTTTACCATCTATCAAGGCTGAATTATGTAAAAGTAGAAATCTGAATAGAATAAAACCAGGAAAGTTGATAGAATTGCCAGGAAAACTCTTTAGAAGGAAAGACTGAGACATGATGATTCACAGTTAAATTCTATACAAAAATAATCCACATACCCTTCTAAAGTCTTCACATAAAATGAAGAGAAAACAAGGGAACAATTTCAAATTCTTTAAGGGGCAGCATCACACTCATATCAAAGCCAGGAAGAAAGAAAGAATGAAAGAAAGGAAGGAAGGAAGGAGGGAGGGAGGGAGGGAGAAAAGAGAGAGAGAGAAAGAAAGAAAGAAAGAGAAAATAAATTATAAACTAAATCTATGATGAGCCTAAATGCAAAATCCTCCAAGAATACAAGCAAACCAAATTCAATACACATTAAAAGGATCATCCACCATCATCAAGTGAGTTGCAAGTATCATTCAATCTGTGCAAGCCAATGAGTGAGCTAGAACTAACAGAACAAAGGAGAAAGTATGTAATCATCCCATAAATACAGAAAAAATCATTTGGCAAAATTCAACATCATTTTAAGAAATAAACCTTCAATAAATGAGGTGGTCAAGGAATGTATCTCAGGGCAATAGAAACCACATTCAGCAAACCCAGAGCCAAAAGCACATAAAAGTTGAAATTGTTTCTTATAAGATCAAGAACAAAAGACAAGAATGTTCATTCTTGCCACCTCTTGTTAAAATAGTAGTGAAAGTCTAGCCAGAGTAATTAGGTTAACACGAAGAAATAAAGGGTATCTACATGGAGGAAGAGACCTTCTTTGCAGACACAATGTGGTCTTTTCTGTGATAAATACTGGAGGTCTAACCAAATATCTCCTAGAAGCATAAAAGAATTTGGTATCATTGCAGTATACAAAAACAACTACAAAACCTCTTGTTTATTGTTTTATACAATAACAACAAACTATCTGAAAAAGGGATCAAGAAAACAATTCCACTTACAATAGCCAGAAACAAAATATTCACCAATGACATGAAAGACATGTACACCAAAACACATAAAACATCAGTGAAAAAAACTGAAGACACAAACACATGAAAATATATCCCAAGTGCATGGGTTTGAATAATTCCTATCATCCAAATATTCTGTGGATACTACCCAAAGTGATCGACAGGTCCAAAAAATCCCTAT